AGAATTTAACAAAAAAATAATTCCCTTGACTATAATTTAACAACTATTTCTCTATGCGATTGTAGTTACAAATACGATACATTTTTTCTCAGTATATCATAGATAGATACAGTCTAGTTGGAGAATAACCAGACATATCGTCATCATAACTCAGCATTTGCTCTGTGCTCGCAGCAACCGCATGATTAGTTGTTTTGCGATCGATTTGTTGAATCTGACTGACACAGCCAGATTCATGTATGGACCATACAGTTTCCTCCATGTAAGAATCGACCAAGTCGGTGTTAATTCGCCTGATCGCGATACGGAAGGAGGATTTTCTATTTCCAACTCGGGGAGGAGAGAGGCAGAGTAGAGAAGAAGACGAGCAAAGTATGACGCTTTAATTCATTCCGCGATTTATCATCCGGGAATGTAGCGTCGCCGCTACCACCCCGACCAGAATAAACACCGAGCAAATCCGAGGCGTTGCAGCACATGCTGCCCCTCGCTGCACGCTCGCCGCCGCCGGTGCGGAAAATAGCGAGACAGGTCTACCTGAGACGGCGCGCGTGCTGGTAGAGGTAGCGGCGCGATCGATACCTGCCCACAAAGACGCTAACCGCGGCATAGTTTTCGAGGCATCGGATACTTATCGATCGATGACTGTCGCGCGCGCCACGGGAACGAACAATTTCCCACAATTCATACTTAATGAGGAGGGAATAACCGCATGCCTGAGAAAGAAACTGCCGCGAGAAACTGCACTTTCCGCTCTGCCGGTCGCAGCGACATCGGCACTATGCAGCGCAAACGACTTTAGTCAAATGAGGTTGAAATCAAGCCAGGTGAGATTTGGGTTAAGTGCAATAAGATCTAAATTTCTCTCTCATGTAGAGAGAGAGAGAGAGAGAGAGAGAGAGAGAGAGAGAGGAATTCGTAAGAAATATGGGTCTCTAGTCTAGGCACATTGAGGCACGGTTAAACGTGCCACTTTCATTACTTCGTATTACCGATATATGCGATCGAATCGAAGAATATTTCGGATTAATTAAAAAAGGAGACGGAGAAAGGTAAAATCGTCGCACGTAAGTGAATGACACAACTCCTGGGGGAATTAAATCTTTCTGCTCAACAGTTTTCCAACTTCTATACAACTTCTATACAGAAATTTTTTAATACGGAGAAAATGAGTTACGCTGTATATGAGAAATAAAGTGTCGAAAATGAGACTTGATTGCGCCGGTTTGAGATGCATAATAAATCTAACTATACACGAATCGCATAGATTCGTATCTCGCGCGGTATACTCGGGAATAATATGCTAAAGGGGAATTAGCATTATTTCACCCAAGCCAGTGATACGTGATGTGCTCGCCACGCAGAGCAGGCGCGACGTTCCCCAGAGCAGAGAATGAGAAAAGTGTCGCGAACCCGACACTGCGCATGCATCTGCACGCACAACGGCGGAAACGAGGCCGTGGGATTGCCGCGGATAACGCCGGGTTAATCGTCTCCCTTCCTTCTTTCCGATGAGCAATTTCACGGGGACGATCGCGTTCGCCAATGGGAAATTCGTCTCGCCGAAAAATCGAAGCGGGCTGCTCGTTAAAAAAAAAAATGAGAGAGAGAACGTCCGCGCGTTCGCGATCCAATTAAATGCCTTGCCGCGTTAACGACGCGCGCCTTCTCCCCCTCAAGTTTCACAGCTTGAGCGCGATAAAAGAAGAAGGCATAGACGCGCCCCTGTGGAAGCTCCCCTGCGAGAAGGGGAGGTGGAGGAGGATGAATTTTACCTCGTCCTAATGAAATTTCCCGGACGATAAAGAACCGCGGCGAAGGCGTCGAAATAAACAGCGGCTGCGGGATGATGGTAATGGTAGTGGTGGTGCTGGTGGTAGTGGTGATGCATTCTCCCGCTTCTCTAATAACCCTCGGTTATACGAAAGGCGGCTTTGCCGAATCGTGAAGCCGGGGGGAAGAGAAGGGGGCGGATCGCATCGGCGGGGGTATCACGAGCGTCGTGCACGGGGAGATATCTCGGCGGTTAAATGGCACGGTGAGTCGAGAGGCCGAAAGAAGGCAAACGGGGAAATATGAATTTTACATTTGCAGTCGATGCGTGCGAGGCGTTCTTGCGCGATAACGGGACATTTTCTTACTCTTAATTACTGTCTGAACGGCGATATTTTATCGCTGTAAAAGTGCGCGCGCTCGTACGCGCGCACGCGGGGCCATAAATCCGGTTTCGCAAACCTCGCTAAAAACTATTAATTGCGATCGGAGGCGTGCGAAAGGCAGCAGCGCGGGGGGATCGTAATTCGAAGCGTGGACGACGCGAAATGCGGAACTGTGCTCCTGCCGGGGTCTTCTGGTGGCTACCGGTGCTTTCGGTGCACGGACCGCGCTGAAAAAGCTTTTTTTCGCCGGCACCGCTTTAATGAAATTTTTTCGACCTAGTCATCGTCCCCGTAATAATCTCCCTTTTGCAACCGGGTAGCCGGCGCGGCTGAATTTATTGCAGCCCGCCTGCCAGAAACACGTCCGCGAGGAAATCTTCTGGATAAGAGGCTCGAAGCTCTACCTCGGTCTACCGTTTTTTGTCACTCCTTACCTGCCGAGTCTTTCCTGGTCCGAGTATGAAATACGCGGGAGCGAAGAAACGCGTAGAGAGAGAGAGAGAGAGAGAGAGAGAGAGAGAGAGAGAGAGAGAG